GCATGTATTTTATTGTATATACTCATCATTCTCCCAAAAATTAGACAGTGAGATATACCAGTGTGTGATCTATTATAGTGAAATAATCTTCGCTTGTAGTCAGTAAGTATCATCACTTGATCAGACCAGATTATACTTCTAAAACATCCCTCTTACCCCAGATCATCTTAGTTTGGTGATAAATACTATAAAAATCATATTTCATTTGTAGACTTGTAAGTTTGAGGCTTTCTTGACTGAATACAGCCTAAGCCTAAGGAAGGGGATGTTATTTTGAGGCCCATGCTTCTCCAAGGGGTAGGTGTCATGCTTGGATGGGATTTAGCTTAATTTTGTACAACTTAAAACAGGGTAATTACTCCCTTCTTCCTTAATTGTCAAAGGGAATTATGTCTCCTGCGAAAGTTTGTAAGCTACTGGCCTATGATGCAGTCATGATTTACGGAGCATACATAGTTTAATGCTGTGGCCAGTCCTATGTACAAAATAACATTGAAATGATCTATGCCTTTCAGGTGCTTGCAGCTGACTTGATGGAGAACAAAAAGGATATATGAAGTAGTAATGAAAGAGGGAGGTGATGATTCCTGTAGTAGGTATATTCTGTGGAGCTCTGAAGAGGTCTGAACAAGGACCTGCAGGGGAATGGAGTGGCCAGGGCAACGTTCCTGAGGTGGATTAGGAAAGAACCAGAGGAGATACCTGGTGTAAAAAAACACGGAAGAGTAGAAAGAGCTTGCATGAAGAGAATAGGAGAGTAGAGTCAAAGAGGCTAGACCATGTGTGGAATCGCTTTACTATTTGACTTTTGCTAGAATGAATGTAGTTTGAAGTAGTGCATTATTAATAATAAGAAGATAACTTCTTTACCTATTTAGTGTTTAAAAATATCTCTTTGTACCCAGATGAGAAAGGGGGGGCTGCCCCCTGCAGACCCTTCGATATACCAGGTCCACTTCCTCTATGCCTTTTCCCTCTGCACAAAAGGAATAAACATAACATTTACTCTTCAATAGCAAAGAAAATTCTTATTCACCCTCTAATAGTCCCTTCATCTGAATGGACAGGCTGTATAGAGTCAACAGAGATCAAAGAAGATATTCACTACTTTGAATCTTGAGCTTAGTCCGGACCCCTATAACCCAGTCACCAAGGGAGAGTAATGTGTGGTGAGAGCAAGCAAAGGCTCTACAATGAGATGAGCTCTGTTTAAAACTCAGTTCACCCACTTTTAGTTATTGACGTTGGGTAAAGCTCCTCTCTCTTTGCTTTAGTTTCTTCATCTGTAAAATGGGGAACATGTTTGTCCATTGAATGACTGAGAATTAAATGAGTTAATACGTGTAAAGTTATTAGAACATTGCTTGAGATAAGGCAAGCATGCAAATGATAGCAATTATTACTATAATATTTATATTCTAGGAAATCAAGCATATGGGAGATGTGTGGAGCTTGTCATTCTAAAGATTATTCAGCAAGTGTAACTGCAATACGGTGTAGCTGAGTGTGCACAGTGTGCCAGACTTCAGGCTATTGGAGACACAGTGCCTGCCTACAAGGAGCTTCAGTCTATTTCGTTGGGTTATTGCCATTGGATTCGCTGATCCATTACATTCAGCCTACTGAATTAAATTCCCTTTGACTCACAGGAGGATGTTGACAAAGCAGTGAAGGCCGCAAGACAGGCTTTTCAGATCGGCTCTCCATGGCGTACTATGGATGCTTCAGAGCGGGGACGACTGTTATACAAGCTTGCTGATTTAATTGAGAGAGATCGTCTCTTGCTGGCTGTGAGTATTAACCAAACTGGATAGGTAGATAGAGCTCTCAAAAGCATTCATTGTTTGAATTGGCAAGTTGTTTTAGTTTAGTGATCACTACATGCTCTCTACAAACAAAATGAAAAGACTTTATCTCTCAGCTCTCGTGTAGGAGTCTGACCATTGAGTTTATTCTCAAATATTAATCTGTATTCCAGTTTTGGGTGTTAATTTCTGCCCTCATAATAGAGTCTATGGTCTAAACATTGGCAAACCCCAAGTTAAACCAAATTAAAGAAATTTCTTTCCTTTACCTTACAACTTCTTCTCAAATCCTTTAACAAGGTCACATGCAGTTTGAATCTCATGGAATGATGAACTGAGTTTCTTAAAGTATCTGACCAGTGAACACTGTTAGGTCAAAACTCATCATTTGCCCAAAATATTTCTCTAAAATAAATTTTATTTCTCTTTAGAGAAATGTGTCCAATAGCCTACCAAAGTATTTAATAAATGGCTACTTTTTCCCTTCCTGAAATGACTGTTCACAATAGTCACAATTAAATGATATTCTTTTTACAGGTCAAGAAGCAAAGATAAAAGAAAAAATTCCAATCATTGATGTGTTTATAAAAATTGTTTTTACTTTGTTTTTTAAATTTATATTTTAGCAATTAGATAAATCAGTGGGTAATATCCTTGTGGAAGGTATTTCCTTATTTTTGTCTTCTCAGTTGGGCATTA